TTTACCTTTGGTAACCATGTTAAGATTTTGAGGCTGGCGAATGAAGTGACTGAGCGTGTAACACAGCACCTACTGGATCTCTGGTTACCAGCGAACGATGTGAGACTTAAACTGGAAGGCCAGGATCCACAGAGCACGGGCAGCCTATTGCAAACACAAGCCGAGCAGCTAGGTCGTCACCATAGCATCCAACGGAGAGGATTCGGGACCAGAATTTCCCGATATTGTTTCCGCCACTTCCGATCGCGACGGAATGACTGCCGTTGTGAGCTCCAATTAGCAGCTCTCGCGTAGACAACTCAGTGCCTTCAACAGTTTACAGGTCATATACATGACGAAGTCTGGAGGTCCGCAATGCAGGGGAGTTCCCCACACATGATAGCGCCCGACCTCATTTGAATTATGCGAAGTTGTGCGACAAAAACAGTTGTCAGACGAAGGAGAACACTAAAGTGGTAAACTGGGGCGCTTAAACCCTTTAGGTCATTACAGAAATGGAAATCTCTCGATTGTGGGCCACTGGGTCATCCATCATGTAAGTACTGCAAACAAACCTACCTTGTTGGCAGTATGGTGGTTTCCACGAGGGAACCTTGTCGGAGTAGCGCACCTCAGAGCCAACACCAGGCTCCGGTAGAACTTTTCTTTTTGAGCATGTACCTCATGGGGTATTTCACTGTGGGTTGTAGCTACAGCCCACTCAGTAGACTTATTCGAAAGAATGTCACACAAATGTCTCAGCTCGTGTGGTTTATCAGTGATGCACTTACGGCAGTGGCCACCTTGTTAGCTCACCACTGCTTTCTCCCAGTTTACTTTTTTATTCGGAAGCGTTTCACATATCTCTGACATATCATCCCCATCCAGGTGCCTATACGGACATGAGTCATGAGACTCATTGTCCCCCCAGGAACACAGGGCCTCCTTACCAACTCAATGTAAAATTTGTAAAATATCAGTCAGCAAAAAGAGCTTATCTCATCGGAGTTCAAAGCGGTAGGTTGAGATGGGTTACCCTGCCTACTGCAGGAGCTAGGCGGGGGAACGGGACTCAAGCCCTGAGAAATAAAAGCAAGAGGTCAACTCTACCAGGCTCCTATGCTTGCACCATTGATGCAAGATGTCTCTTTTGTTTGTCTTTTTTGGTTAACTTCTGAACAGCGTTTGAGAATTCAGTCTGCATCAACTTCACAGGAAAAATCACGCGTCTCTTTGTAGTCTTGATGAACACCCGGCGGGTAACTGGACTTATCAAAACGACAGCAAGTGAGTAACTTGATCTACTGGAACACGATTCATAAAAAGAGCTTGAGCCGTTTCGTAAGACCAAGAGGTGGGTGCGAAGGGGTATTCTGGATCACACAAGCTCGCAAAACGTATTTCGTCGACAGCTGCAAGAAGAGGTTGGACATGTACGTAGTCGCACACGACTTGAGCTCATCCATAAGTGGGCTGGGTTGATAGAGCCCACTAGTTCCGTGCAATCCTATGCTTTCAACCCTTGATCGGATCTTTTCTAACACCACCATCACCGCTATCTAGCATTAAGCCTATACTTTCATTCCAGAAGTATCACGTCCATTCAACACATCTCCACTAATGGCGCTGCTATTGCTATTTCCTTAAAGCGTCCTATAACCTTACTTGCTCCTTTTCTTCCCCGTGACTGTGTGATCCCAAGGCATTTGGTAAGGTTTCCCTTATCACTGTTATCTACCCTGAATATACCTAGGTTTTCCTTAACCTTTAAACTACCTCTTCTCAACTTGTTTTTCCCTCATTTCTTCCGCCTCGCTTTCCCCGGACATCTCTCCATCCCTACTGTATGGTGTCCATTCTGGGAAAAGTTTCGGTGGCATGAGACTTGAGGAACGTATTTATACTGGGGTCTTTGGGAAAATCATACAATTCCTATAAACAAAACCAACATCCTTCCAACCACTGGGTTGACTAAGGCTATAGTGGACAAAACGGAGTCCACCAAAGACCTGAAACCGTCTCTCGATACCTTAAAGCGAGTAAGAAGAGATTAATCAGGCTACACTAACCCTTAAAGAGAAATTAGCTATTCGACATTAGAACCCAAGGAACTTTTCATAAGGGTGGAAACATGGTATCCTGTCTTTCATCTTCAAAGGAGGAGATAGGCGGAGTCCAAAATGCTACCGACCCATGGCACTTCTGCTAGTGGCGTCAAAAGCTATGGAGAGCCTAGCAGACGAGAGAGGAGCACTAAGCAATGCTCGACATGATTTCAGAAAGTCAGGTACTGCGCTTCAAAGCCCCCGACAACCGGTGACAAGCGGGGGCATGCTGTTAACCCTGAATTCCTGTTCATGTTATTTTTCTGGATTTCGCTAAGGCCTTTGAAACAGTCCTGCACACCATTCTCATTTACAAAATATGAGGGTTGGGCATCAGGGGCCAGCTGCTTTCCTGACTACATGACTGTTTAAACGGCAGACAATCCTGCGCAAAAGCCAACAGGGTTTGCTTGGCTTGGAGGACATCGTCATCTGGTGTGTCACAAGGAGCGATTCTGGGTCCGCTGCTGTTCCCTCTTTTTGTGGACTCTTCCATTGAACCTACGCTCCCCAATTCTACTTTACGCTGACAATGTTAAGTCATGGAGGGTTGTAGCATCCAAAGCAGAATCAAGTGCAGTGCAGGGTGATCTCAAATCGCCTGCAGAGCAGACGAATAACAACGGACTAGCATTTAACCTGAACAGGTACCGAACCATGTTTCTGGCTCCTCTGACTCTCCGAAAGTGCCCTCTGCAGAACAAAGCTTTCCCACACTACTGCGGAGAAAGACTCGTGACCATTACTCACCGACAAGCTAGACACTAGCTGCAATTGTGCAGGAGTTACATCCATAGCCTATGAAGTGCTGCCCCACACGCTCAGATAGCCTGGTGATCTCACTCTGGGGCTCTTCCTGGAGCTGTACAAGACATAAGCGTGACCTCACTTAGAGGTCCACAACTTCACTGCATCACCATACCTGAAAAGAGATGCCAACACACCGTAGAAAGTCTGAAGGAGAGCTACAAAGAGTGTCATGGGAATGAAAACAGCCTGAGAGACCTAATGCCGTACCCTCCCAGCCACCCTAGATCACGTTGTGACTTGATAACGGCCTGTAAAACACTAAGTAAACCAAGTCATCCTAACAGTTGAATCCTACAGAACGGCCACTGCGTCGATCCTCGTGGTAATTCAAAAGGAATCGCACACCAAAGGGCGGAAACCCATACGCGTTCATGCTTCTTATCTCTGCGAGTTTGTGACTGCTGGAGCGCACTGCCTGCCGAGACTGTTACTGCTCCGTCTGTTGACAGCTCCAAGAAGAGGCTGGACAGTTAAACAGCGACGATTGGTTTGCGCTAATCTAGCTGGGATATAGATCAAGTCGATACAGCCTACTGACTCCGCATAGCTCCGCACAGCCAACCGATCGCTGAATCTTTTGTAACGCCACGATCATCGCGAACCTGGCTCAACCTAATGCTTACTTCCGTGAAGACGACCTCCCACTAATAGTATTAGAACCTTCATTCTCACAACCCATCCTATAATTTTGCTTCCTCCTTCTCCCCCCCCTAACTCTTCTTTCTCAAACTATTTAAAATGTTCTCCGTAGCACTCTCTGTCCATGAAACAACTTGGGTTTCTCCCCCCGCTCCGCTTCCTTTCATCTGATCGTTTTTTGTTCCTCTTCCTACGCACTTCTTCCCCCTTGACTTCCCTGGACACAATTTCTATCCTCTTTTTACGGTCATTTCGACCAACTATCTGGTGGCAAGACACTTGAAAAGCCCATTTGGACCAAAGCCCTTGAAAAAACCACACAAGTCCTACGAATTTAATCGACGCCACAACTGAAAAGTGTCTCGAACCTATTGGAGAAAGTTCAGAGGTGAGCCACAAAAGGGCTTATTGGGATGCAGTGAAAACCATACGAAGACAGACCAAAAGACCGAGGCCTATACTCCCATAGCTACCTGAGGCTATGCGGTGACTCGATAATGGCCTACAAAAAAGTGAATAACCCTAGCCACCCGAACAGAGGAATACTACCTAGTGGCCACTTTGGAGATCCTCGTGGAAGCCCTAAGAGAATTGACCACCAAAAGTCAAAAACTCATGTGCTTTCACATTTCTTCTCCTTCCGAGTCTGCGGGCACCGGTCTCCGCCTCAACTATTGAAAGCTTCAAGAAGAGGCCAGACCAACGGTTTACCCACATACAGCTGGAATACGAACTAAACAGAAGAAACCAACTGACGTCTAGCCACCCCAACTATTTTAACTCTACAACCCGTTTGCTTTCTTTTATGACCATTTAAGCGCTTTTCATCCCTTCCGCTTGCCATGAGTTAGCCTTACTTATCTGATTTCTTGATATATTTGCATCCCTCCCCTCCTCACTTGGGTGTAGGTAGATTACTCCATAAGTTCACTGTTCTTTTCCCCTTTTACTCTCAAAAATTCGCCTTTCTGAGTTTTCGCTCCACCATCCCCAGCCCCCTTTAGCGATCATTCCGAACAACTGTCTGGCAACTCGATATCTGAAGAAGTCAACTGTACTACAGTCCAAGGGAAACAAACCAACACTTAACTTCTTGTTCTGTATGTCAGAGCTATGGCAGACGAGTGGCTAGATCTACTGCATCGGAATCCGCCAAAGACCTGGAATCCTTCCGCAAGACCAAGAGGTGAGCAAGAAGAAACCAACTGGTTTACACAAGCTCCTTAAAAAGGTATTGGATAATGGAACACCCAACCTCCTGTCGGCCCAACCAAGGGTTCAGTAGGAGAGTGGGTGGACCTACTGCATCAGAATCTACCAAAGACCTGGAACCATTTCATAAGACGTAGAAGATAGCGCGAAGAAATCAATTGGTATACACTAGCTCGTGAGAAGATATTGGATATTGGATTACTTCTGAAACACGGTTTGACCACAAGGTCGTTGTGTACGCGAATTTATTTGTGAATGCAACAGCGGTTAAAGGAGTTCAGCGGTGTATTACGAGGTGTCGGCATCGTGGTGAATGCTACTATCGAAGATCAGACACGTAAAGCTAGTTGGACGTGGTCTAAGTCTGATATTCGAGATGTCATAATAAGCGTATCTAATTCCATCCCCATCAAAATAAATGCTCAAAACATATCACAAACTGCTAATTATATAACTGATAGAACATGGCTTTTTATTCAGCAAAACTTCATCATCGCAAAGTCACTTGTATTTCCCGAGTCTGCTGAAAATTCTTTCACGAAATTCACAGAAAACACAGAAGCTCATGAAAACAAGTATAACTCTGCAGGTGAAGTCCAGGCAATGAATGAAGCAGCGTCTTCACATCGAAGCAGTACCAGTGTGATCAAAAGTCCTATTGTTAATAAACCGCTTCGTTTGGATAGTTACGACGTTCCTGACCGGGAAACCCTAGATCAAGTAAGATTCTACTGATTAAACATGTTAAGAAATCATTGTCCAAAGAAAGACGTGTACCATCATCACGTATCGGAAGAATAGCGGGTTTCGGAAGTGAGATTGTCATATAATAATATCCACAGATCTGGCCATAAGTCTTGGTATCGGGGCAGCTGCCGAATGGGCAAGACAAAAGGTTGGGTATTCTGGTAGGTTTCATTTTTGCCAGCTAATCCAATTATTTTATAGGCTCTGAAGGCACATCCGCGCCAGCCAATATATTCCTAACGGAGTCGAACCTTGAGAAAATTGTTGACACTTTATGTCGTATGCGAGGAGCCGCCCTTAAGCTTGGACAGATGCTGAGCATTCAGGGTTAGTTGAATTCTTGTGCATGTCAACAGTGTCAGTCGACAAGCCTAAATCTTAGCAACTGAATTTGTCTGTGGTGGATTTTCAGATTTCATGAATTTTCTTCGTGATATCCTACCGTTTGGTTAATATGTAGTAATATGTAATACAAGATTAAAGTACCATGAAACTGGCAGGAAAATGCTTGCCAGTTAAGATTTCAGCCTCTTATCCTTATAACCACGGTTTTATTGGCCTTGTGACACTACACCAGTCTATGACAAGTTCATTCCTTTCTTAAGTCTGAAGTGAATGACATCTATGATGAATGCTTTAATACAAATTGTCAAAAATGTTGAAAAATACCTTTAATTTAATAGAGACACTTAACGTTGTCTGTGTTTTTGGCAAACGAGTCAGGTGCTTATTAAGTAGGAGCATTTGCTTTTGACAAGAAAAATTATAAATTTCTAATTAAGGTGAGACTGATCACAACAGGTCGTTGATTCGCCTAATTAATTGCCCATAAATCAACATCAAACTCTTCAGATTTCCCGTTGTATTCTGCGTTACTATCTTCTACACACACTCCTGGATATTATGTTCGCATGGTTTAAGATCACGGTAGACTAAATCAAATGGTGACTACTCAAGTAATTATTCAGTTTCCCTTCAATTTACTCTAAGTTTGTGGGAATAACAGTTCAATAAATAGGGTAGTTCTTAGATTGTCTTGAGGAACGTCCGCGTGTGAGCGTTCAGGATTCCTCTATGGGTTTGGGTTCTCTTGTATATACTTTCACTTCCCATCTAATGATATTTTACTACATGTATTGAGTTCGTAACCGGTTTTTATTGGAAAATTTGCTTGGAGATAATCAAATAATAATTTTCTCACCTCAAGTTTGTACTTAAAATCTATGTTCCTTCACTACAGTTGCGTTGAGTGTACGTGTGATTTAAAATCCCCTTAACCACCCACACATTAGCAGGAGCTCTATTAGATTCAATGAATAGGCCGAGAATAATCTGGATTTGATGTTGGAAAATCAGAGGTACGCAGGATGTCTAAAAATGACGGAACTCCAAGGTAAAGTGTAATTTTAAGGCAAACTGACAATCACTTTCAGGTGATTCAAATTTGAGGTCCGACAATCTAAGAAGTTGAGAAGTTGAACAATATGGGACTTCGCATTGCACGACATCACACTGGTAGAAAGAGATTGGAAAAATCAGAAGATAGGTTAAAGTGAGTTAGGTAAATGACATATGTGGTATAAAATGAACTATCCAGGATTTCGCGGGAGATAATTTGGGCTGTTTTATTATGTACGTTTTCGAGTCAGTGATCAATAATGCAATAAAGCTCATTAATTCCATGAGCTATCAGATAAGTGCTAGTGGAGCTTTTGATATCTTCGTCGATATTTCGTGTCAACAAACGCATAGTTGAAATGGTCAGGTGAACCAATAACTACACACTGCAAGATAAAAACAAGCGTTGGTGCAGACTAGTTCGGTAGTTTCACTTTGCATAACGTATGCAAAAAGTACTTCAAACACTGTCAGAACTTTTGATATTTTCCACCGTAAGTATCCGTTAAGTTCATACAGCAACAATTAAAGACATGTCTTTGCAAGCTAAACAGAACTGCACTGCCTACTTATAGTTGAATGGAGGATCGAATGGTAGACTTATCCTTCAAATGCTGACGGCACACTCTCTCTGGTGGGAGGTTACCTTTTGTGTGTCGATAACAAAGTGATATGATGAAAGTGAACAACGTGTACAGACACCAGGTTTTCTCAAGCTGCGACGCAGATTCTCGATAAAGCTCTGTACTAGCTTGAGTGTGGAGCCTGCAACAAATGTCACTTTTCAAGTCTAAGTGGGATTGTGGCACATGACTTTCATATTGAAGAAGTTTAATTCATCTTTCAGGTCAAGACGTGTCGCTATTACCAACACATGTGTGCCACTGTCAGATTTCGGTAAGTGGTTAGAACGCCATTAGAATACTCGTACGGTTTCTGGACTTTAGTTATGTGGACAACCGTCACCTTGAGTCGGTGGTCGAACTTGCATATCATAATTACCCGGTGAGCTGTGCTGGTTTGTACCTTGAGTTCTTACCATGCCGGAAAAGGTTGTTAGGTAGTGATGAAACTGACACCAGTTGCCATCATATTGTAGATAACTTACACTATGGTGAGAATTTGACGTCAAAATCGCACCGCTACCTAGACAGCGATAACGTGTTTCATGGATTCCCAACAATCCGCACACCACTATTACTCACCCATTTTCTCTTTTGGGTATCTTACAGAAACAACTACAGTATGGGCAGGCAGGAAATACCACCCGCTCAAATGCTTTCTGCAGCATATAAGGCCTATCTAACTGTAACTAACCTTCCTTACCTTTGTCTCCTTCTTTTTCCTCACTTCCTGATGCCAGTATTAAACGCCTCACAGCTTTTTCAAGTTCTCATCCCTAGATCACTGCTAAAATTTCAACTATGCTGCCAATTTTACATGAAAGCTTTCAATATCCAAATCCTGTCCCAGATTAGACAACAGGTCTTACCTGCCGAAATTCGGAAATCTCGAGCCATGGATATACGTTATGTTTCTCAGACGCACAGACAATCCAAGCGTGGTTATTCGCTTCACCTCCCCTAGCCAATGCGGTGAACCTGCGAAATCCTTTTTCGAGTGTTCCAAGACTCGATGGCCAACTCTTGTTGGCTATCTGGTGTAGGTACAGCATAAAATTGTAGAGCAGAAAGCGCACTTCTTGGCTGGAAACCAGTCGATATCGCTATCTGTGTGATATCTGACGTAAAGAGTTTGTGAGAACCGGCGACGGTTATGACACTTGTCGATGCTTATTCACAGTTACCGTTTACTCTTCCACCGAATGATACAAATGATGAATTCTATCAAAAGCTGTTAAGTTTGCTACATAAATCACAGCATCAATATATAGTCATGACATCAGGCAAATTCAGCACTGGAGTAAGAGAGACCGTGCCAATCGGAAAAGTGTTCTAGAAGTATCTTCGGCATCCCGAACCAGTGGACCAAGAACGATAATTGTCCCTTACAATTTTTTCCTGACAATTACTTGTTTCTGATCAGTACCGACTTTAAGGACAAATACTTTCTCATTTAGTGTTCACCAGCATCGAACTAACAGTGGACGCATAGTTGATATTCCCGTAATTCTTTCTTGGAGGAGATCAGCAGAGAATTGCCATCACTTCTGGAATACTTGTTTGGAACTGATGCAATATTCAGTCTGCTGTAGGAACAGCAGCAAAGACATTTATTGGCCCCCCATTCAAATATTTTTGAAAACCAGTAGATTTCCGCAACCTCATCCAAACTGACTGGTATGAAAAGACTCATCCTAGCTGACTGTGATCACGATGAAGATGTAAAAGCAACTTATATGGGAATCAACTAAGTCTTCGCAATAACTTTGAGCAGTAGTAGGTGGCGAAAGAAAAGGCAAAAGAGGTCGATAAAACATAATTATTTCAAACCATTAGGGGGACTAGTAAGAAGAAGATGATAGTTAATGAAACTATCACCAAAAGGATGGGTCCTTGTTTGCGTCTCAAGACAAGGGACTGGAATGTTGGATGGATGAGGAAAAATCCAGTTAACCTACAGTCACTCTTCAAATGTGTAGCATTCAGCCCGAACCTGAGTGAGATGTAGATTTCCGTTATTCAAGTGTCTTCAAAGTTGAGACAACTGTTTCAAGCCTGAAATAATGCAAAGCAGCAGGATCTGATGGTTTGCCACGGGAAGTTTGTAAGCAGGTAGGTAGCAAGTAGAGTAACATACTAGGTAGTCTATGGAAATCAGGGGCATTCCCGTCAGACTGGTCTAGATCACTGATCGTTCTGGGGAAGCAGAGAAGTTTCTGTGTGTGACTATCATGGTGAATCATTCTGACTAGTAGAATGTCTAAGATCCTAGGATCCGTACTTCTCTAACAACTAACCGGCTGCATCGATAAAATCTTCACACTTCGGGTTCTGAAACACGGTCATACTTACCAGCAGTCGACACTTGCCACATTTCTTGATCTTAAGGTGGTATTCGACCCTACCAGTCGGGAGATGTTGTAACTGACTATAAAGAAAGTATGTAACAGGTAAGTAATGCTAATAAAAGCTCTTTACTTGATGTTACGCAGCCTCCTAAGGGCTTATGGTGAGTTGTCGTCTGATGTGTCGACAACCACAGGTGTTCGTACAAAATGCTCACTGTCGCCCTCCTGTTCAGGTTTGTTATAGATATGTTAATGGGTATAACTTGATGTATTCAGACTTTAAAATAATCGACGTACTCCGGGGAGGTTATCTGGTTGATCTGGAGTACGCAGATGACATGGTCTAGTGAGGTGAAGACGTTAATAAGATGGATGCTTTGAACAAATATCGGAATATGTCGGCGTGCCTTTCAGACCTGTCAAATACAATATGAGTGGATGAAAAGATCCAATGCATCGATCAGTTCAGTTACTTAGGGAGTTGCATCAATTGGAATGGGCTAGTTGCTGACAAACTCTCAGCTTAGATAATGGTTTGACCGGGATTCGTCAACTTGTGCCATCTATGGCGCCGGCGAAACATCCTACTACCTATTAAAGTATGAGTATGTTGCTCTCTAGTCCATTCTGTCCTATTATGAGGCTATGAGATTTTAGACGTCTAATATAGATGTACAGAAGTTACTGGTTTTTAACCGCAGGTTTCTTCGTAGCGTCGTTCACTTTTGGCACTATCACCATGTTAATATTTGTGATTTTAGGTGTAGGATTCTAGGCAAGACAGGCATCTTTCAATGAACTTGTACACCTTCATCAACTACGATCTGCTATCCACCTCAACATGCAATCAGTCGAAGTAAGATTGAGTTGAAAGTAGGCTCAGATAGGTGCGACCAAGACTTGGAATCACTCCATGAAGTCTTATCTGTCTTAGCCATGTAGGCTATCTCGCTGATGACGTCGGGTCGATAAAAATTAATGGTTTGACACTCCTGGTGATAAAGGTGAAAAGAGGTCACATTTGTTCAGATTTAAACACTGTTTCATTTTAGAATTGCTGAGTATTTTCATCAACCTTTTTTTTAATCTCTTTCCCCTGTCTACTTTAACATCCCTTATTACCTACTTCTTCCTTGCATGCTTCCGTGAAGTGTGTGCCTATTCACCAGGTTCTACGTTGATTTTTCTCAGTACCTTTAATTTAGCAGTGAATGATTTTTAAATCCAGGTTTCTAAGAGCTATAATAATCAAACCAATCCATGCCCAGTAAAACACATTATCTTCATCTTGATCGTTGTTTCACTTTTCTTCATTTGATTTACTTCCCTCAATATTTGTGACTACCTTTCTCTTTTTTCTCCGTTTATCCTGATACCGTCTATCCTGATTTGAAATATACTTGCTTGAAGCATTACCTAGTATTATCAAGTCACGCTAATATTTACGGATTTATTACGCAGAGGTCACTGTTTTCTCCAGTTTGGTTTGAGTTATAAGACAAACCACTATTCTATTTAAAGTGGTAGTTGGAAGTAACTCTGATTTCACCTACCGGGCTTTCAGAATAGCTATCAAACTGCCTAAAATCTACGGGATTTCGTTGTGGAGCTATGGCTCATAGGTTTAGGCACTCAACTAGTGGGTCATGGATCCGAACTCCATTCCTCTTACCAAGGTTTGGGCAAGCAGATAGTATCATTAACCCTCACACAATAAGTGTGGCCCATTGTTTACTGCGAGGACGTGTACATAGTTACTGAGTACACTTCATTCATTCACTGGATTTGGTTTGATCTTAGCAGCTGCGTGGCATTATGTCTCACAAAGGATCCCTTGTGGTTGAGCACAAGTATGTGATCACTCAGGGAGCTGCATTCATTATTCATTGCGTTTATTTCTGAACACTGTTGTAACACCGATGGGCGTTATAGAGCGTATGATGAGTTGTCAAGTGAGCCGTGTATATCGATTATGGTCCATCAAGAGTATCCACTGTCCATTCCTATTCAATCTTATTATATAGGTGTTAATGGACGTCTTTCATCGTCTGACTTCACTGGTACTGTTCTAGTCATGAAAGACTCCTTGATGGATCTATAATATGCAGATTACATAGTCCTGTTAGGTAAAAACGCTGTCAAGATGCAAAGTCTTCTGTGGCGATTTGAGTGTTTGGAATGAATTCCTCGCCATACAAATGCAAACTGTTGCTCCAGGACTGGTCTTCAGTAGTACCCCGGCTAGCAATAGGGAGTGAATTAGTTGAGTGCATTTAACAGTTCATTTACCTGAGGAGTCGGATCGACCATGGAGGATCATTGCCCGATGAAATATCTGCGTGGATAAAAAGGACTTGACTGGCTCGCCGTGACATCCGGTTGTTTATTAAGGGTCTAATGTAATGCGCTAAAATTCGCTCTGTCCTAGTATATGGTTTTGAAACACGGTCATATAAGAAGGCTTAAGGTGTCCGGCCACTTTTACATTCGTAGCACAGACTATGTGTCTTGGTGTCACTATGGCGGTAACGTAGAAATCAGGAGTAACGTATTGGGCATAAGAGGAGAATCGGTTGATGAGGTTGTACACATTCATTGACTGAGGTGGTTGAGACATGTTTTACGATTTCCTAGTTACCGTCTGCTTCGGCACTAACCGGTTGGAATCCTCATGACAACAGGGACCAGTGGTTGGGAACTCCAGATGACATAGCTCAGAATGTAACTCAGTGGCGCAGATGTGGTCCACACATTATCTTTATCTTAGTCGTTAAGCTGAATTCATCATTTTCTCCTTCCTCTCATTTACTGTTTTTTACTGCTTTTGACTGATCCTTCTTTACTTTTTTATGCTTCATTTTATTGCCTCGTTACTTGAAGTGTTGATATGAGATGCAGCAATTTGTACCGTAATACAGTAATGCCTTGTCCTATGTTGATATTGATAATGATGACTATTTTATAATTCGAGTGTAATAATGTGTATATAAATTCAGAAAGTTATCTCGCGTTACATCCAATCACTAAAAGTCAATATCTTGTTGATCCCAGGGTTTATAACTCAGTCACTTAGATAGGGAATTTCAAAACAACAGATTATGCATTTGAACTATCAACCCGTCGAAATTTCCGTATTTGGATAGTGTCGCCAGTCTTTGTCATCGTTGTACCCTACAGACTAGTGCATAAAGGTGGATCTGGTTACTAAGCTGTAGTATTAGTTCGCGTTTATTTAATTTTATTCCTACTTTTGCGTATATTTTGACTTCGCTTATTATTTTGTTTCGAATTTGACTGAGAAGTATTTTTGGTTCTCCGATTTGTTGTTATTGCCTTCAACTAGATGAGAGTTTTGTGAGCCCACAGATCCAAAAAATATTTGAACGTGTAAGGCAAGCGGCAGACTTTATGCCAGCTAGGCAAATGAAAGCAGTTCTAGCATCCGAACTTGGTGAAGATTGGGTTAAGCATATCAAGGTCTTCGAAGAGAAGCCGTTCGCTGCGGCAAGTATCGGTCAGGTTCATAGAGCAACTCTTAACGATGGCAGGTCAGTTTATTTCTAGACTTTTAGTATTTTTATGTAGCAGTTGTTTGCTGTCAAGTTCGCGTCCTATCAACACAAATAAAAATTGATTAGAAAAGCAGTCTTATCTGATGACGATAACCTAAGCCGGTTCAACATAGCTTTTAAGATTTGAACTGTTGATTCATGGGTCTTCGACTGCAGAACACGGTTTTAATATTTTAAGCACACATCTAAGCTGCGAACTTGCAACGAAGTGAGATATGTAATATGAATAACATTTAGTATTTAACCGCTGTTATCAAGTAGTGTACTGGTATATATATATATATATATATATATATATATATATATATATATATATATATATATATATATATATATATTGACCGACTATTATGTCACTTTATTTCGATATTTATATTTTCCAATGACTGGAAAACAACCTTATTTTGTATTTCATTTATTTAGAATCACAAATGTTGAAATAAAGGGTACTATTTACCCAGCACTCTAATTTTTTTCAAACCAATTGATCCCAGCTTGATTTGGATATCTATATATGTATTTCTGTTGGATACCTACGTAAGTACAGAGAAATAACTGACTGGAGTCTCTGTGATCAGACGTTGGTTATTTGTGAGGATGTTTTGATTTTCCGGTCTTGACTATCAAATTTAATGCCTCAATTTTATGAGTATCAGAATCAGAAGCTAAAGATATTTATAAAAGTCAACTATCGGATCATCGTGGTGTCAAGCGTGGAAGTACTTTGGTGAAATCCGCAGTATTTCGAAACAGTGCAACAATATAGCTAATATATCTGCGACTCTTGAGAATAGAATTGTAGGATGTCTGCTGAATAAACCAATGTTTGTGATTGTTAGATCAATTAAATGTTTATATGGTCTTCTAAATGTCAGGATATAGTCAGTATTTGCATATAAAAGCTCGCTAAAAAGAACCGAATTGGAAATAAAGGTGTGCTAAGTAGAGGTTCATCGACTTATCATACTCAGTAAGAAATAACAAGCATACTAGTTTATAAAACTTGACTTTTTGCGATTGATAGCACATGTAACTATTCACTAAGTTGGATGAAGAAATATTCGATTCTGAGCTGAATGGTCTAATCGTGAAGTCTCCATTGCGAATGCAAATTTGTTATTTATTCCTTCTTCAGTTGTTAATTTCATTGCTTCGAAAACGTTGTTGAATACTTTGTAAACCTTTTCAGATTCGTTTGTTTTAATGATGACAGACATATCATCTGCATATCGAACACAAGGTTTTGGTTCGGTCAACAGTAATACAACGGTGTCCAATTTTCACATTACTACTGCTGCAATCAGTCCTGATATAGGCGATCTTTTGTTTGTAGAGTTAACCGCCGAATTGGAAACATGTTATAGGACATAAAGCAATCCATTCTATGAAACTCGAATATTGTGTAGATTTCAGGATCAAAATCTAACCTGATAGAGTCATTATGTTCTTAGCTGGTTTCGTTTCAGATACAGAGAGCGAATAAAAGGTATACTGATATTGACCCCATCTATCATCCAATATGAGGCAACAACGTAGTCAGAGTTCACGTCAGTATGACGGCCGATCGAAATGCGTATGGAGATAATGACAAGATTTTAGCAGAAAAAACCAATCACACCCAATGTTGTTAGGACAAGCTGCTAAGCCACTTGTAGCGAAAATTTCATGGCTCATTTCTTTCTGAAATTTGTGCTTGTTATGTTTAGAATGACATTGAAGGCTTCACGATTGAACTATTCAGCTTAGGGAACACAACATCACTGAAACTCTCTCGTAATAACAACAGAGAAACCAATCTGACGAACACGATACCTCAGTTTTTCAGTCGGGGCTATCTAACTGGAGGTCACAAACAGCAAACTCGAGAAAAATAGGTACATTTTGTTCATATTCAAGGGTACGTCAACCAAGTTCACTATCCGCCAGATATTGGAACGTAGGCATGCATACTGGGGCCGTTTTTCTTGACCTAAAGGTGGGATTCGCATTTGTTAACCAAGAAGTTTGATGAAGTTTTTTTGACTTTGAGTATAAGAATGATGTCATTTCAATGTGCGGCATAACACAAGTTACCCAAATTCACTTGATCTGTCCCAGTGAGTATAGAAAAATGTTTTGCGCTATCAAACCTAAAAGTTATTTTGCAAGATTTCTGCATTCATCTGTTTTGGCGAACCGTTAAAAGTAGTTGGAAAGTTCATGTATCTGGACACTTGTACGAGTACTAGCGACTGATATGATTTCTAACCGACAGTCCTAGTAACACACTCCAGTCTGGGTCACCTTTGGCACCATCGGGATACTGCTCTAGCCGGACAGTTTTCCTCCATTTGGAGGATTGTGGGGATTTTATTGATTTCAGATTGGTGTTCATCATGGACTTACATCGGTTGAAGAGACATTAGAAATCTGGGAGCACTGGATAGGTATTTTCTTCTACACTTGTAAAACCTAGTCTCTCTGGGCTGAGAATAGTCGAGGATTCTGTTTTCAGCTACCATTGTCTTCATAGGATTGTTGGCATCCGGGTAAAAAGTTGTGAGTGTAGTCCTTTGGTCTAGCAGCTTGATGTGGACGTGATGTAGTTCTTCACTGATTGAGTGAAATAATTTCGAAAAATCAGATTTGGTAGCTTGAGTGTGTGCTATGAACGTCATCCAAGCAGCAGTCATACAGTTCACTATCTGCTAGCCCTGGGACGGGTTGAAAGAAGTAAGGATATTTTCAGTGTTTGAGGTGGTACCGTGAAATAAAGGGTAGTTGTATTGGCTTAGTTAGTTAGTTCGCCATAACTCCTTTGTAGGGGTCCAATTGGTCATGAGACTCAGTGGCATAGGCAGAAATCAGATATAGTTGAGAATTGAAAGCGGTGGTGATCACTTTGCCATTTGCTTGATTCTTGTTATTAAAAAGTAAATCAAGAGGCGGACGAGCTTTTGAATATATCGTTGAAACTTCTCTTTGGATAACTCACTTATTTTTCAGTCCCCATTTTCAGTTCTTTTCTTTTTTCATCACTTTCGTGTCTTCTCAATGTTGTACTGTGTATAGCGCATTTCTTGGTGTCTATGTTATGTCAAGCTCATGTTCTACGTAAAAAATTGATGCATTAGAAACCTCAAGTGAAATATTTTTCATCATACGGTGTAATATGTATATGACACAATATTGGAGCACAATCCACAAACCTGTATTCGACCACTCAATCACTTAATAACTCATGGATCTTGTTCATAAGATGTTTCATTCCTGTCTCTCGAAGGGTTCCATTTCTTTCATTTCTCTCACCCTACATGGTTACAAGTCTTTTCTGGGAGCAAAGATTAGAGTAAACAACTTTCGTCTTGATTGTTATTTTATTTCCCGTACAGAGTTGTAGCAATGAAGGTACAATATCCTGGAGTGGCTGACAGTATTGATTCAGATGTCAATAACCTAATGACGCTTTTGAATCGTTTCAATATTTTTCCACGTGGATTATTTGCTGAGAAAGCAATCGAAGTGGCTACGAAAGAACTTAAAGATGAATGCAATTATCTACGTGAAGCTGATTATGGAAAACGCTTTAGTCAGTTATTAGCAGATGATTCTGTGTTTCAAGTTCCCCAAATAATTGACGAACTGACAACAAGTCGTGTTTTAACAGCAGAATATATGAATGGTTTAGTTCTGGATGATTGTATCAGTCTTCCACAAAATGTCAGAGACTGGGTGAGTGTTTTTTTGCATAAGGAAGTTTTAAATCTGTACTTGTCATGTGTGCAACAAGTTATAATCTCAGATCTTTTGAACGCTACATCAAGTATCCTACGCCTCCAGGAGGGAAAGGAAACCTACAGTTTAAACATTTGTAGGTGTTGTCATCGTATGTACTGAATGTGTTACAGAAGTGTCAAAGTATTGAAAGTTCTTTTTTGACTTTTTCCTCAATACAAGTGTGTTATTAGGGTGTAATTTATTCAATCACTCATCACCGATTAATTGTTACTAGAATACTAAGGGTGTCTAAATGGTTTGTTACCAGTCTTCATTGTTACCTTCTTGTGTTAACTGTGCCACTGCTAGCCAAACTAGTTTCATAAATCAAAGTGAAAACGTATCGCCGTGTGTAGCGTTATAATCTCATGCTTAACTTAGATTTTTTTGCTATCGCTCACCAGTGGTTATGTACCTATCATGATAAAACTGATGCTGCCTTTTGAGTCTCATATTAATAGCGCTAGCCGTCTTATATTAATGATTGGTTTAAATGGACGTTAACCCCATGTCACTTCTTATTGGTTATATTTTCTCATTTAGGCTTATTATTATTATTTGTCCCATGGGTTCCTAGTGGAGCATAGGGTTTCAATAGCACGTCGCCATTCGAATCTCTTCTCTGCAGTATTTTGGACCTGGCTCCACGACTGCTCACAAGCTTTCATTTCTTCCTCACACCATCTCCATGTCACCCTTGGCTCAGACGCCCAACTCGTCGTTTCCCCTTTAGGTTCCACTTGACGGCCTGGCCTGGCGCGTGATGCCCCCAATCGGTCTTCTCGGTGTGTGTCCAGTCGAATCCATCTCCACTTTCCTCTGCATATTTGTTGGGCGATGGGTTCGTTGCCAGAGCGAGTTCCTTGTTTCTTTTTCTTACTATTCTGGCTATCTGATCTTCAGTATAGAGCAAGCGTAGGCAGCCGTCGATGTATGTATGTAGTTTGTTGGAAATGATTTTCGTAACGCACCAAGTTTCTGAACCACCACTGACTTGATCGAGTTAGTGTTCAAAATCTGGATGTTCCTCTTTATGCTGAGTGCAATAGATCTCCACACTGATTTCAGGTTAATGCAGAAAGGCCTGTCTTGCTGTCTTTCCGATCATAGCTTTGACATCCTGATCTGTGCCGCCGTTGCCTGTGGTTGAAACGATGCTGCCTAGGTAGGTAGGAAGGTGAAGGAGACAACTTGCTTTAGGTTTCTCCCGTTGATGATGATTGGTGTTGTTGGTTGGACATCTTCATCACCTCTGTCTTCTCTGCGTCCACCTGAAGGAAGTCCCGTCTACGCTGCCCTGTCTCTTCTGTGAACTGGTTGGATTTTACCTGTAGACCTTCGAGTTTGTGCAACATAAGACATTAGACATAAATCATCGGCGTTGTCGAAATCCAAATCTCCTAGGGTCTTTTGATTGATCTAGCCAGCGTATGCCGCTCTTCTCGCTCCTTACAGTTTGTTGCATGATCCAGTCCAGTTTAGTGGACCGCAGTCAGGAAGATGATTGGTGATAGTAGGCGGCAGCCTTGTCTTACTCCTGTCTTCACTTCGCTTCAAAGGCATCGCTTTCCATTGTGATTCACTTGGCATGTGGTGTCTTCATATAGTTGTTGAGTGAGGTTGATAAAGATTTGTGACACTGAAACCGTAGTGTTCAAGCAACTGCCTGCCAAATTACTTCTCAGTCGACGCTGTCGAAGGCTTTTTCAATATCGATGAAGTTGAGGCAAAGATTCAGTTGACTGCCATTCTATGCTCTGTTCTATGATGATGTGTAGCGTTGCAGTTTGATCCTCACCTGATTTGAAGAAGTGCCTGTTGTCTTTGCGCGCATTCTTCTTCACTTCTTTTTCCAGTGTAGTGTTTTATACGCTGTGTTCAGTTCCTCTTTTCGTTGTTCATTCCTGCTGCACTGCACTGTACTGCTTCATCTTCTACTTCACCATCTTCCTCTCCCTCCTCTATCAGCTTCCATGTGTCCGTTGACATCCATTCCTTGTCTTGACTTGTCTTGTCTTGATTCTTCTTCCTTCTCAATACGGTTATGCAGGTTTCTTTAAACATCTTTCTCAAAGAGTTTCAGTGTTCTTCCACACAGGTTTCCTTGGATATGTTGCTTAATGTCTCCCATTTTGTTTTGATGGCTGGCTGACGTGAAGATGTCGTTTGTAGTTTCGTCTTTCATTCAGTTTCTGTTCTTGATGTTAAACTTGAACTGTGTTCTATCATCACCAGCTTCTTTGAAGGCTTCCAACTTGATTTTTTTGAAGGTGGGTTCCTTGCACTAGATAGTAGTGTGAGTGGTGTGAACCTACATCTGCTCCTCTTCGTGATGTGATCTGATTTCGTGTCTGGTAGACTGTGTCTCCACGTTCTTCATATTGAGATGAAGTTGGTATGATTTTTAGCGTATCCTGGTGTCTGGTGAATTCAAATCCATGTCGCTGCCCTGTGAATATCCTTGTGTTCGTACACACTGCCTCCAATCACGAAATAGTTGAATGTGCAGAAATCTGCAAACAGTTCTCCGTTATCATTCATTTCATCGAGTGCTTCTCGACCGATGATGGATGAGTTCTCTTCCTGTATTGTCCACTCCCCACAGTTTGGCATTCATGTCATCCCACCCATTACAATTTTGACGTGGCTAACTGGGGTGGGTGGGGTGTTGTCCAGTACTGACTGAAGTTGTCTGTAAAATTCCTCCTTCTTCTCTTGACCCACATTATTTGTAGGTGCGTAGCGTAGCATTAAATGATTGTGACTCTCCTTTGTTTTGAGTTGAATCCATCTTGCTGCCATGATCCTGCCTGATCCTGGAGGAGGAGATTGGTTCCCACTGCATGCGCGAGAGCCTTCGATACTGTTGGGAGGGGGACATCATGACAGCCACTCTAAAACTCAGTGTGCTGGTGGTTGTCGTTTGGGTGACAATATCGGAGTAGATTATTGACTCTCCAGTTGATAGTTTGAGGAGTCTACTTCCATTCCATCTGCAGGCTCCTCCCACATTCCTAGCACTTCTATGCTGTACCTTATCTCTTAGGCAATCTGGGCAGCTTTGGTAGGTTAATACATGGTGCGGACATTCCATGTCCCTATGCTTACTTTTGCCTTCATCGGGAGAAGGTACATCGGCCGATTGACTTCCCGAAGGCTTTCACCAACCGGCTTCATTTCGTCTCTCCGATTTCAGTTAGGAATAAATTTAACCTAATTTTTTATACTTACTTTGTGCTTTGAAGTTTCTTTAGCGATTGGATTGGTTTCCCGGGGTAAGGTTTCTAGCCGAATGCCCAACCTTCCCTCTTTATCCGGGCTTAGGACCGTTTAGTAACTAGTGAACTAGTTAACTATGCGAGGTTCATATAGGCTTATTTATCATCATAATACACAATCGAGACTGAAACATTTGATTGTATTGTATATTAGACTAGTTTATTCGACACAGTTTTGTTTACTAGGCGAAATTTTGAGTACGATTTATTTTTTACAAGCGCTTTTGAACTTCATTTACTTTGATCCGAAGACAAAGATGCAGTAGTGTTCATTGAACGACAACCACAAACGCTGTCATGTTATAAATCCGAAATCATATGATCTTGCTTTGTACTTCCTATAGATTTCTGGATCAACGTAAGACTTGATAGAATTGAATAAATTGAGCATTTGGTAATTTGATTGTCAAAGAAATATATTTATGAAATCCCATTGTGGCCCAAAAATAGATTTCCGAATTTTCACGATTCCGCGGAAACCACCTCCTTGCATATTTAAACATGAGATAAGCTCTACAAGTTTTATTCTCTGAAGACGCGGCTTCTATGAAATCGAGAAACTTCAGAAAATTTTTTGTTCTTCTTCATTAGGATTATGCAAATATATTCCTTCCTTGCTTTTTATTTTAATGAAGTAAATTTATTGCAAAAAATACATTGCCTACTTGAAATTCAGAATTGTTGAGGTTATTGCTATATCACTTATTTTCTGACCTCTTTTTGTATTCGAGAACGTCAATGTATTTTTACTTTCAAATTAATCGTATAAACCTTTTTAGCTACTGATAAGTAGTTTGTTGCTAAAATTGCAATTTTCTAATTTTCATTTTAGCTTGGTGAACAATTACTACGGTTGTGTTTGAAAGAATTGTTTGTATTTCATGTTATGCAAACTGATCCGAATTGGTCGAATTTTTTGTACAACCCTGAAACAGGCAAAGTAAGCTGATTTTCCTTAACTTTTATTTGTGGTATTTATTAAGCTTGGTTCTAGAATACCAGGTTATCCTATCCAGTTTCAGTACGAACAGTTTTTTCACTATTTTTTTAGTGACTATGTGTTTTGTACCACGGTTGTTCCAAATAAAACCTGTAGAATCTTCTGGCTACTGTTAGTTGAAAGGAATGCTTCGCTTGCATGACGTAGTGCTGAACATATTTCTAGATAGAGAAGAACAGCGGAGAATTCATCGCCACCAGAAAACATTAAAAGAACTGATAGGGTTTCGTTATATTCATTGCACGTACTGCAGCTTATTCTAATGGGTTCTTACACCTTGATTGGATGTGTTTTTTTTACCTGTTATCTACATCTAAGTGTTGATAATCTCTTCACCAAATGTCTACATCTCATTTTATTTTCATCTTATAGATTCTTTTAGTGATGGCTGCCACCCGTTAATTTAATATTTGTATTTTCCAGTGAAGGAAAAATGCAATGAAATTCATAGACTGACTACCTACCCCATAAAAGTTGGTCACAAAAATCAAGAAGAACATTGAATGAGACGGAAAGAGTATTTCAAAATCATGAACTTCAACAATAGTCCATATAGATCATACATTACTGATGATGAGATTCGAAGAGTTCTCAGCAAATAAAATACCGGAGGGTTCTGCAGAGATCCAAACACTAAAGAGAGTATGATTTGTGTAAAGGGTGAAATTTTCGCGCGTTACCAATCTAATTGTGTGTATAAAGTACAATACACAGACTGATGCAGTGTACTGAGGTTAGAAAAAAAAACGTTCCAACCCCGTGGGGATTCGGTAGAGAGCTTCATAAGCTTAAAAATACTACACTCATAGCTGTTATTCACTATGGTATCGGGTCAAAAGGTCAATTTTGATAACGATGAGATTGTCCATAGAAAGGCTTTAAAAGTCATTGGGAACATCTCACAGAAGAGTTTCCCCATATAAAGTAAAATAGAAATTATCTAAGTCAGAATAAGCAAATGAAACAGCTTGATCTGATTTCAGTCCACCTTGTAAACTGGCGTAATCAACACACAGTGATAAGAACTATAATCACGTGTGCATTTACTAACACTAGAGGAAATGATTCGTGAGGACTAGGCCGGGTTCCTTTCAGGTCGTGGATGCATTGGTTTTGTATTTACCTTCTGCTAGATGCATGAACATCGTTACACGTATTGCAGGCCAACAATCGCCGTGTTTATTGACATTAGGAATGCCTTCGATTCGTTGGACAGAGCTTTAATCTGGAATTGTCTGTTGCAGAGGAGCGTGCCTGAGAAATTTCTCGACATCTTGAAGTCCCTTTATAATAACACTTCAGGTAGGGTAAAGGCATACAACCACCTGTTTCATCGTTCCAAACCAGCAGTGGGGTTAGGCATGGTTGCCCGATCTCTCCATTCCTCTTTAACTTCTTGGGACAGCTCTGAAGGAAGTGCGTGACGGTGGTGTAGATTTACTACCTGGAGAACAGATATTCGGCCTTGAGTATGCGAACGATGTGGTCTTACTGTGCGATAACAAATAGGCTGCTTAATTCACACTTATTCAGTTGGCGATTTATGTCCGTAAGTATGGTATGTGCTTTGCACCATTAAATCACAAAGTACTTTTGCGAGGTTGGTAGGAGCCTATGTCTGCGCTCTCCCTTGGTGGTGAGCTGTTGGAAGTAGTTGGAAAGTTCGTGTATCTAGGTAGCTGTGTGAGTGTTGAAATGTCCAAGCGCATAGCGAAAGCCAGAGTGGCATACGTCAATCTGGCGCCGTCACGATGTAAGTACCACCGTAAAAGGTTGAGCTTACAACGCTATGGTGTAATCAGTTCTGCATTTCTTAGTGCTCTTGCTGTACCACGTTTGTATTCTAATAATAATAATAATAATAATAATAATAATAATAATAATAATAATAATAATAATAATTTACTAAGTTTAATTTTTGGCCACACTGCAAGATGACCGATGAAATCCAATCAGCGCTGGTAAACAGACAACATGAAAATAGTTATCTCCCAATGAAATCGGATTTTGCTTAGCAAGCTTATGGATATTTGTGCATTAGGTAACGAGCTACGCCAATTATGATATGGCTAATAATACTACCTAGATGACAAAACCTTGGTAGATGGAAGCAAGCTCGAACTCGCGACTGACTGGTTGAAAACCAACTACCTCAATCAATGAGCCACAAGTCCCTGACGAGGGCCAGCAATCACAAAACCTAGGTCAATTAGAGCTTCCTATCGATTGCCTCCATCCAACTAAAATTTAGTTTGTAATTCACACATATGTTCGTCATCTTTTCCAAATACTTGAAAACTGAGTGTCATCCACACAGAATGACTTTGATCAAATTTGCACATAATATACCTTGGCGTTGTAAATTAGAGTTTGGTGTCACTTTCATAAAGCTATTTAGACAAACAAAAAAATATTTGTAAAATCCCACTGAGGTAGAAAAAAAAAATTTCTGACATTTCGCAACTGCATTAAATTGTGAAACTTCATTGAAAGACACAAATATCAACATATCTAATATCATTTACTCACTATGTGAATTTCTCAAACCATGAAATATCAACTTAGTGTAGATATCTAAAGATATTTGACATTATTATTTCTATATTTTTCATCTTCATTGTTATTGACTTCTTACCGATGCATTGATGATATAAAATGTAGCAACCCAAACCGATGCATATTTATACCAGGCTCTATGTTGATTATGATTCTGTGCTTCCATGGATCTGCTACCAAGACTTTATATAATCAACTTTATCTGTTGTGATGTTTCATTTAAGCTGTGGGTTAAGGAGATGACTACCAACCGTTGGGTCATTGGTTCGAATCACGCCTTACCTACCGAGGTTTAGGCAACCAGGTAGTATCACTAACCCTCACACAATAAGTGTGTCTCACTGCCTACTACACGGATATGGACAACGTAGCTGAGTGCGTTTCGTTCGTTCATTTAAGCTAAGGTGGGTGAGATGAATCATCATTGCAGTTTTAACATTTCAATGCAAAACCAAAGTATGAGAAATCACATTACCTCGTAATATAGTAGTGGTAATGGATTTCATACAGATTTTTCACATTGCTGTAAACTTATCTCGATAGATTGGAATAATTAAACATTGTTTGTAAAGGTGATACTTTTATCACATGCTTTACAAGCGCCTCGGTTTTGAACATGCATATGGGACTTTTAATCATCAAATGTTTCCGAGAAAACCGTTTATAATTTACATCAACTGAATATCCGTTAAACTGGCTCGTTTAAATGTACAGTAAGGGTTTGTTTTCCGTTTTACTTATTGTAAAAGGACTTAGCTTTTCGTGGTATAGACATATGTTATGAGTCCTCGCAGTCAGACTGTGTACAGAAACTTTCTTCTCAACATCCCACTTCTATCTTTTAAATCTTATCCACTTCCTCTTTTACAGCATCTTCAATGTTCCTACTTCTGTTCACACTTTAGGCTTTGAGAATGAAACCTATGTCTTTGTGAAACTGTATGAAGACTTCATGTTGAGGTTCGAAAGGTTGACATTATACGTCTGATTGGACAGGAGATCTCACTAGACAATATATAGACAAACACAAAACCTCCCATTTGTTAGTTCACCTGACCTTACCTAATCGGTAGTTAGTAAGAAAAAAAAGATACTAAAATACTACTTTAGGTAATGGCAATCAGTTGTGTACATTTTGAAGGAGACTTTGTACCATAAACGGTCATAATCAACGAGACTACGGGTCAGTGACCTGTTATTAGGACAAATAGCCGAAACAATGAATAGTATACTCTGAAGAACTCAACTACAAAATACTTTCAAGTCACTTATTATTCAGAAACTATCAGAATGAGGAATCGAGATTCACTTTCCATCTCTTGTCATCTTGTAGATGGCGATATGTTTATTCAGAAAGTAGGGTCACAGTATTAATGGTCGTATTGGAATCAGAGTTTATTTAATTTGGTTGATTGTTGTCTTGCGAGAATCAAAGGGGAATCAATATGAGTAATATTCTAAGATCTTGGGACCTTGAATCATCTGATGTCTAACTAGATTCTATGAGATGTTAACACTAAATTATTCAATTAGGTTGACGATCTAAACGTAAGTGAATTGAACGTATTTTCACTCCATCAGAATTTGGAATGCAAACACATTTGTCAGAATTACACTCTGTAATTGTTGAAATTTTTCTACTATTTAATGCATAGTTTAATTCTACGGTTTGTTTTAAAAGTTCATGTTAATATTTAAACTGTTCGGGTATATTTTAGTGTATTTGAATTAATTTTATTCCATACACACAGATTGTTTTATTGGACTTTGGAGCTTCCAGAGATTTTAATAAATCTTTTGTGGATTTATACATTCGTTTAATTCATGCAGCAGCTGAAGGGGATCATGAGACTATTCTTCAAATTTCAGAAACTTTAGGCTTTTTAACTGGTTATGAAACAAAGGTAACTTTCATTGCTTACTTCTTAATTGTAGTTTTCATGTTTTCTTTGTTAAAAAACGTTATATATATATATTGGTCGTTTGATTGCAGTATACTTATTCTTTTCCAGAAACCTACTTGCTATCAGTTGCACTATCAGGACTATATTTCTCATTCTCAAAGGTAGTTTTTTTCAAACTAGAGTTAGTAGAAGTACTACTTAATTTCCTAGATTAATCTAGTTTAGGGTGGTGGCTGCATATTCTTACGAATAGTAAGTCTTAAGGGAAATCTCTATGGAGTTCTTCTCATTTTTAGTTAATTGTCTCAAGCTACAAACTTTATCTTTCTTCATTATTATTCTAAGCTATAGGTTGAATAAAAAGGAGTTTGTCGCTAAACATCATTCCTACTGGTTCTTTTTAGCATACATTTCTTACGGGGACATGAATGTTTATTGTACTATGCAACTTGTTAGCATTCAAGAATTTTTTTAGATTCTGCGGTATTAAAGTCGACCATCTTCATTACTCAACGATGAATTATCACCAGTTCAATAGAATTCTTCATTAATGTGCAGCAGTAGGCTTTATCGTGTATTACAATGCTCCATTCCAATGTTATGTCTTCAGTCCTCAACACCAATGTTCAAACAGGACCAGCAATCTTAGCAAACAACCTGTACCTTACACCAACAAATTTTATTTGACAAAGAAGTGTATACTTTTAGCATGGCACTTGAAACTAATGCTTTTCATTGTTCTTAAGCCATTCTAAGTTATAAAAATTTGTAATGAGTTAACATAGAGTACCACTCGAAAATTCTTATTTTGACTTGATCATCTATTTTTGTAAATAACCGTGGTAATAACTAGCATATGAAATAAGACTGTATCACCAATTGATTTTCAACGCCAGCTGGATATATTTACGCCATTTTTTTGTGAGACTTTCCTGAAAAGTGCTGGTAGATGTACTCCGGGAGCATCAGTCATAAATTAAATTTACCGAAAGGCCTGATGTGGCAGTACAAAAGTTAGTAATTTTGCGTGGTTGTGGCTAGCAAGAGAGTCCAGGACGCGCGTCTCGTCTTATTTGGAACTCATCAGCCGGATGTACCTGAACCGTAGTGAGTGATGTTGTTCCCAGTTAGACGCGAACCCTGTACCTATCGCCTCAAACGCCAGAGCGTCCACTAGGCCACCGGGGCACGATAGTCACTTTTCGTACAATGGGTGTTGGTTATTACTATGTATTGATATACTTGTAATTCTCCGATTTTTTCGTTGGATCAAATCGACGTTTGGAACGATGGGTACGGGGTTCGAGTCTCAGTGGAGACAACATCACTCACTTGGGTGCAGGCACATCTGGCTGACGAGTTCCAAATGGGACGAAACGCGCGTCTTGGATTCTTTTGCTAGCCACATCCAAGTAAATTACCGTAATAAATATTCAGGCAATATCGAGGCATCCGCATAGGAGCCCATGTGGCAATGGCGGTCGAACAATTCGATCCAATAAAACAATGGAGAATTACAACTATATCAATCAATAGTCATAAGTTGGTATATTGAAAGTCGAAGATGGAATGGTGATTTAGTGTGACTGTACAATTTCGATAGATTTTTGACCCTACCAACTAAACTACCTGCTACTTTTCTGCTCTAATCTAGTGATCGTCAATACAGCATCATAAATTAACTCCAGTTTTGCTCTAAATGGTATCGGACATTAAGTTAGTTATCCACTCATGGGCTATACATATCCAAATTTTATTAACCTTCATAGTTTCATCAACTCAGTAGGCATTGCATGGTTTACTTGATATTTTACCCTTGTCCCGAAAGCTGATCACTCAGCAGTTGTTATGATACCCGTTGCACAACAGGTTAGCTATTGTGCCCCGGTGTCTTAGTGGATAACGCTCTGGCGTTTGAAACAAAGGGTACTGAGGTCTAGTCTCACTGGGGTGCAAGTGCATCCATCTGACGAGTCCCAAATAGGACTAAACGTGTGTCCTGGATTCCTCTGTTAGTTACCAAGATCAATATAACATCATGACTACTCATTAGTCATTAAGCTTCACAGTAGGATAGTAGTAAAAGTCTATCATGTATTCGTCTTTGCTGTTGGCAGGTAGATTTTTCACATGTTCTATAGATCAGGTAAGTTGATAAATCCTAACCAGACATTTCTGCATTTGTGGTGTAAAATTACTAGTGTTCTGTTCACCAAGGCTGGCGTAGTTGTGGAGTATGTTTTCAACTCTTATTGCAAACTGATTTTACTCTCGTTTAGTGAGTTTTATTTGAAAAAAAAACCTAGTTTTTTTTTCAAACTTACAGTACTTACTGGTTTTTCTTTCATAGATATTGCAACAAGCCCATGTAGATGCTGTTAGCATATTGGGTGAAGCTTTTGCTGCTGAAAAAAACTTTGATTTTGGTCAACAGTCAACAACTAAACGAATTAGTCATCTGATCCCAATTATGCTTGAACATCGATTGATACCACCACCAGAAGAAAGTTATTCTCTACACCGAAAAATGTCTGGCTGTTTCCTGTTATGCAGTAAACTCAAGGCTAAGGTTAACTGTCGTCCTTTGTTCTATGAAATATGGAATAATTATCGTTTCTCTGACAGTACCGATCATAATTCTATCTCTACAAGTCAAAAATCTGTAAAGCCTAGTGTGAATTAACTGCACAAATGTATACTCTTTCAAGGGGATGTTTAAAGTATTTTACTCTTAGATATGAATAATCTGTTTTTGTAGTGTATTTAACTTGGTGGAAATTTTACACTGTAGTATTACTATTAGTGCTACTAATAAGACTACCTCTGTTTTGTCTTTTATTTTTAAAAAATACAAATACTATTTCCACGAAATAATGTTGTTTTCCCTTCAAGTTCAGGCTGATTTTCAATCTTTTATTGACTTATGTTAGTGCCTGTTCAATGTTGTTGTTCGTGTTAGTCTTGATGTTTTGTTTAAACCATATATTCTACTTCTCTTCCTTTCGTTTAGTCCACATGTAACTGATGTGTACTGGCCAGTGTGTATACAATCATGGTAATGCAACGATTTAGTGAACCTTCTTCTCCAAATACAAATGATACCACCGACGATAATCATCAGGTTGCCAATGGTGTGATTAATTGGAATGAGTATTCTGTTGCGGCAGGTGGAATAGGACCGGGTGGAGAATTGACTGATCAGACAACACCAGTTGGTTATGTTTTACTAGGCTCTGAAATTGTGCATGCAGCTGATGAAGGTGGAAATGACAGTGAAACAGATGATATGTTATCGGATAGTGAAAATGAACGAGTAGGAAATACTGTAATTGTTGAACATGAATCGAGTATACAATCGTTTGAATGTCGAGAAAATTCAGACAGTCCTCGTATTGATGTAGACCAATTACTTAATCGGCAGTTGTGCAGGACAGAATTTGAACCTCGTGGAGCATTTGCAGTAAGTGTTTGCTTCCATATAGTTTTTGACGGTACAGTCTCAAAGTTTTGATATCAGTTATTTAACTTAAGAAAGTAAGCGGTTAGATTGATGTTCTCTTTTTGACCATTAGATGCTAAGCATTAGTATGGTAATCTGTTATATCAACACTAACATCAGTACTCACGTCCAGTGTGTTCATTGGTTTAAGCAGTTGACTTTTAACCAGTGAGTCACGGGTTTGAATCTCACTCCACCTACTGAAGTGTCAACAATCAGGGAGTATCATTAGCTCTCACACGGTAGATGTGGTTCACCATCACCTACTGCAGGAATATGCACAAGGTTGCTGTGTGCATTTCCAGATACTCTTCAAAACTTCATCGGTGGGTGGTATTTGTTTTGTTTTCTTCACATTACACAAGGGTTGAAAGCTATAAACTTTTAAATTGAAATAACTTGTATAAATCCAGTACTCTTTTATTCACAGTAACTATCTTTATGTGAAGTCAGTTACAACCTGTAACAACAGTACTACATTTTACCTAAAATAAAAGTAGTGAATTCAGCAGCTCCACTGTTTCATTTCATTATTGTACACTTTGTTTGTATCAATAACGGATAACCCTGTCGTCTGTACCGTATTGTAATCCTAATCTTCTGAGACGTTATCCATTGTAATATCATACTGTGGCTTGTTTGGTAACCGGAATGGTTAGGAATAAAGCTATTCACAGATGTGTAATAATAGTACAGCTTGTCTGTACACCTTATTTAAAGATTAGCTGGCATAAGGAAATGGTGTATCATAGTACTTCGTTTGTTATATATTCCATGTTTTGGATTGTATCACTTATTGCAGGAGTTCATTGTTAGGTAAATTTAAAATAAGACGTAAGTAAGTTGATAAACAGTTGGGAAAATCCTTTTTTTCACATGTTAGAATAGTGAGTCAGTTTACGTTATATTACTGTGTAGCGCTACAGGGAAATGAATTCAGTAATATTTTAAAAAGGATCAGCAGAAGTAAGATGATGTTTCTCAAGATGTGACAAGATTCAGATATACGACAGACTGTCTTGACACTTCACTGAGTTACCAAAATCTAGTAGTTAAACAACCTTCCTTTTTATTTCAGTAACAAGATGTTTTGTAAGTTTTTGATAAATATATGTAACACGGAATTGTTTACACCTCATCATACCAGCTAATTTTCTAAATCTCAATTGAATCTCGAATACGTTGCATTAGGGAAACTGCGTATTTCACAGTTGGGCTTAGTTGGTAGAGAAACACTGATATGCAGGAATGATTGTTAAATTTAAACGACAGCTTACGTCATGGCAGAATTCAAACTAGCTTCCTAGCTATCTCATGAAAGCGTCGTCAGTACTCAACCAGTTGCATCTCTGAATTCAGCTCATGTTAGTTAGTTAAAAAAACAGATATTTGTGTTTCTTTTGGCTTCCTGCTAATCAGACTCAGTATCTCTGTAATTGCCTCTAAAAGTCTACAGTGCTTGCTCTTCTTGTCTGCTTTCCCTTTTGTACGTGTTGTGTATGCAGGTCTCGAGCTTAGTCACCAATATAGTTGAAGACTCGTCGCATATAGACTTGTGGAATACAAATGCACATCCGTCGTCATCGCAGATTACAATTACTCCAGGTAAGTGCTAGCAAATGATGATGTTAGTTTCTCATTACCTGTTTTCCTATTTCCATCTTCTTTGCCTTTGCCAACCTTTCAAAAAGCATACATTCAAGTTTTTATAGAATTTTTTCGGTATTTGATAATAGTCTTCAGTCTAATGGTCTACAGTGGTATGCATAGCAGCAGAAACTCTTTACAACTATATATCACTGTCGATCATGAAGACTGTACACCTTACTTCAGATTAGAAATAAGCAGCTGGTATCTTAGATCTTCTCCATTAAATGTTATGTAAAAGTGGCACATAAGTGTGAACACAATCAGGTATATTTGCATAAGTGTTTTGAGGGGATGCCTTTATCCGGCATGTTGCCATGACAGCTCTATGTGGCATAGTCATTTCGTTTAAATACATAAAATTCCGCAATAAATGATGAGATTAATTAAATTACGTACAAAATTATTCATTTCACACACTATTTGGACGACATAATGATTCCTAATATCAGTCGCGCTTACATGGCAACATGTCAGATACCGGCAGTCCATTTTGTTTCTGTTGTCTGCAGTTAGAAATCCAGTATTTTCCTTTGTTACACACATACCTGTGTATACGTTATGATCGCTCATGAATTTGAAGTATGAAGAAGTATAAAGCATGCCTGGATCTTTAGCAGTTGTCATTATTACTGGAGTAATACGAAATACTTTTCGTGCAAATCATATTCACTCAGTCATACTTATTATTATGCCTAGATAGATTTGACTTCAGTCTGACTAACTAATTTTCTGAGTTATTGCGTGCGATACTTGTATACACCACAGAAATTAATGATGTATGGATTTGTAAATTCCAGGGTCGAAATCTGACATCTTGGACACTCAGGCAGATTGTTTTTAGTGGGAATATATTTGGAAAATTCCAGTCAAATGGCAACATAAACGCTCGAAGCTTTATAAACATGTGAAAACCATTTGTTTGAAGAATCAAACCTGTGTGAATTATTCCCGTTGACGTGGTTGGTGATTAAAGGGAAATGGGGTAAGGTAAGAACCTGGCTCACGGCAGAATTTGAACTAGTGGCCTCCGAGTTACCAGTCCGATGTTTTACCAACTGAACTATGAAACCCAACTGCTGATCAGGTCTTAATTTCACTTCAGCTACCAGGTTTTGTTCTACTTCCACATGAATCCGTGGTACGCAACTGGGTCTTCTCGTCACAGTCGAAATTGAACTGAATTAGGAAAAGGGAGCATCATATTGATTATCACTGAAACTATCTCAGATAGCTGTGGTTTACTAGGGTGGCAGGTAGGCAAAAGCTTTGCTAATTAAAATAAATTTGTTACATCCACTGAATTTTGCGCACACATACATGTAACAATATCTTATCATAACCTAAGTGGTAGTGGCTAGCAGTGGAATCTAGGGTTTGTGTTTCGTCCCATTTGTGACTTGTTAGCCGGATGTACCTGGACGCCAGTGAGGGATAGTGTTCTCTCTGAAACTCGAATCCTGTACCCATCACTTCAAACTCCATTAAACCATTGGGGCTCGAAAGCCACCTCTTATGCAACGGATATTAGTTATTGTTGCTTGTTGATGCTTGTAATTTTTCGTTGTTGTACTAGATTGAATTGATCGCATCCACATAGAAGCCATATACACAGCAACAGAGTTCGATCGACTGGATCCAACATAACAACGGGGAATAAAAAGTGTCAGCAAGTGTATTATATCACCTGTGGAAATTATTGATTAATAGTTGATGATAATAATAACCTGTTTGGTTAGGGGAGACTATATGAGGTAACCGCTGTTTGATAGACACTGATATTTATGATACACGGGAATAACTGGGAGTGGAATGAAAACATGGATCGTGACAAAATCCGAACCAACTGTTCTTATTCATGTACGAACTATGTTTAGTTTCATTTCGTTTACTGTTTAGAAAAGGCACTATGGCTTATTGGTTTAGATACTTGAATTTTAACCAGTGAGTAGTAGTTGCAACTTCGAAGCTTACTCCATCTATTGAGTTTTGGACTGTCAAGTTTGGTTTGTAGCATATAACATAAATTCTGTGTAGAATTGCCTGGTTGCAATGTTTTTCATACTAATATTTAAACTTGAATAACTCGATTTTTTCTTTTGCTTCAAGAAGTAACTCCCACAAGTTTGGTGATCTTTAAAGTTGGATTTTACAAGTATATTTACATTGCATGCTTGTATGCATTTTTATATAGTCAGATTTTCAGTGAATACTTTATAAAATATTTTTCATAAATTTTCATTTTTAGACGAAGCAGATACAATTAAAACATGCATGTCAAACTTTCATCTACCAGTTTCTCGATATCCTTTATGGGCTACACAAATTCCAGAAGAGTTATGGAAAGCGAAACTTCTTGAAAAACTTGGCAATAAGTATCAGTCTTAGAAATGTTGTTAGCACTTCCACAAAGTTCTCTTTCTGTGATCATCTTGGTTTGATTTTCAATGTATTTTTCTTTACTTGATGTGTATCTGAAATTATTACTATTATTATTGTCACGACCATTACATTAGTAATTATTAATTGTTCACTTGAATTGTATTTATGATTGAATTCATATATGTTTACCTATCAGTTTTCTGAAAGAATTGCTAATAACACTTTGTATTCATCTTTGTGGAATAATAATCTCACATGTATTCATTTATCCTGATGTGGTTTGAGGTTGACAGTATCTACACTTCTTAACCCTTTAATCAATAAATTCAACTACATCTCCATAAATAAAAGATTACTGTATAATGTAAGGATACTGAGTTACACCTCAGTGTTAAAAGTAACACGTCCTTAAACCTTAAATGTTGGTTGTTACGGTTGGGCAAGTTGTGATTTTAGACGTATTATCGATTACTATAGCTCACATATCTATTGTAAATTCCTTATAGGGCTTCGTACTTTAACAATTCTAATCATAGTTACTAAAGGGAGGTAATGACCCTTCTGACTGGTCTCAGTCACTGGTCGTTTCAGTCTTCAAGAAAGAGAAATTCTCTTGTGATGACAACAAAGAGACTCAGTCAGAAGAACGTAGTGTCTAGGATTCTGTCTTGTGTTATCACTAAACGCCTAAGTGAAGCTCGGTAGCAGTAAATCTGAGGGAACTAATCAGCTTTCAGACCTAATCGTGGATTCATTGACCAGAAATTTACCCTTGGGTAAGCTGTGTACGTCGAGTGATGTCCATCAGAGATCTCCATCTCCTCCGTTATTTAATTTTGTCAATGTATTGCGCAGGTCCGCTCTCGTCGTCTAACTTTAAAGGGATTGTTTTTATCGCAGGAGAATAATTAATAGATCTACAGTCCGCAAATGACATAATCCTGTTAGGTAAAGATTCAGTCTTCAAGACACCTTGAGTGGCAATTTGAGAATGCTTTTTTGCTGCCTAAATATAAATTGTTGCTCCAGGACTGGTCTTCACTGGTGCCTTGTTTAACAATTTAAAATGAAATAGTTGAGTAGGTTGACCACTTCACCTACCTAGGAAGTGGAACCAGGTCTGGTGTGTCAGGGACCGACGAAATCTCTGCACATATACCAAATACTCGATTGATTTTCACCGACCTATGCTATTTACGGTGCCGTCATGATATCCAATTGTTGATTACGGGTCGAGTGCACTGCAGTACTATTCGCTTTACCATACTGTATAGATTTAAACATGGCTGATAAAGGTAGAGAACATCAGAAGCTTTCAGGCATTCGACCACTGTTGCCTTCTCAGCATAGGCCTTGTGTTATGGTGTCGCCACCTTGGTAACACACAAGTCAGGCATAGTGTTAAGGAGTAGATTTTGGGTTAATCGGACGAGGAATTATAGAAACATCAAATAATAATGTAGTGTTATGGGCTTATATGGTCATGGGGTCCGTGGAAGTAGGGTTTTTCTTGGTGGGTAGTAATTTTTGAAAGCACGACGCTTACTAATCGACAGGATGATGCTTAATTATGGTGATGGTGGTGTTTGATTACTTGGTTAGTAGTAGAATCTTACGTTGACAAAGAATTATGTCATAGCTTGTTTCACTGAAGTGCACTTCATGTCAGAACAGGAAATCTAGTCGTAACGAAGAATTCACATCTGTTATCCAACCGATAATCAAACTCCTGTAGCACTACGTGACGGTTGTGCAGTGAGTGGTACTAGTCACCACTGTCGAGACATTTCTGCAGAATATTTGATGTTTGAAAAGACATGGTTATGATCACTAAATTATCGCTCGTAAACGTTGATGCCATTTGGAGCCACCTCAAAAATATTTACATCCTTACTACTTGTCCTGAGGTTAAATAATTTATAGTCACATGAACGAGTACCTTCATCGTATTTACTTCAGTGTCAGACATTGAAAACCTACAAGAATTTCTCAACAGTATAAAACAACCATACTTATTGTGATTTTCGATGTTTTCCACATTAAAGTTATGAGTAGAACTATCTTTTTCTTCTTGGTGAGTTTGTATCACATTCCTTTTCAAAGTCCCTCAAGGAAAACATGTTCCTAGAGTTTTGAAAATTGAAGTTGGCAGAGAAATACAAGATTGATCTTTCTATGTACAAAGGTTGGGTTGCATCTTTCGCATATCTAAATCCTGTACGATCACGCTGTCGAGTACGTTTTGATCATAATGTCTCAAGTTTTTTGAAATGGCTTAGACATGCAAACAAATAAGTTTTTGTCGTCTGTCTAAAGCATTTGTTCAGCGCGCACATGTAAACGGGTAAGAACAATTGGAACAATGGGGAGTTGTTCGATTATGGCATATTGATTGTTCAATTTAGTTAGTATAATGCATACTGACTTGGAGGCTGGATGCTTATTTTCCTGCTTGGCTATCAGTCTTGTTAATTTTCACAGTTTATTCCTCTTTAAAGGCAGGTTGTAGAAAGAGTTTTTTTCTTGAAAAACCAAAATCCTTTTCCGTACTTATGGATGAACTTTTACGGAGTATCACTGTTACGCGGCAAGGGTTTGAAAAACGCCTATTTCCTCCTCAAATTTACTGCAGAGCAGTCTTCATGTTTGATTGAGTAATGTTCTAATCAACTAGTTTTACCTTTCTTTGTGGATCTTTGCGTGTACAAAACGTGTATTGAGATCTAACAAAACTTGTTACCTGAGAAGTATGCTCAGGGTTATTGCATGCGACAAATACTTCACCACCGTACCTAGCATAGAAAGTTATCTCATTTTCACCCTTGGAAGGTCTTCCATAAAAGTATTAGTTTAAATAGATCAAAGATTACAGCTTTGGCAGAATAACGTGCCTTCATTTTATTTCATGGTTTCTCATCAGCTGCTTGCAATCTAAAACAATTCTAACATCATTTTACACAAAGTGTCTGCTTATTCGAATCAGTCTGATAGAAAATTGTCGGCTTGAATTAAAGATAATATCGATGTGACGTAATTGAAAACACACGAATTGAGTGAATAAATATACAGAACTAAGTCTGCCAATATATAGAAGGATTAAACGAATATTTGAGCATGCAAACTCGTTGTACAAATTGATGTTTAAATTGTTTTAAGTAAGAAACTATGAAATAAAATGGAGCCATGCTGTTCTGCTAAAGCTGTTATTCTCGCTCTATTTAAATTTATGAAGAGAAAGAATTGTATAAAAGATATTGGTAAAAATCGAACCAGATGAGCTACCGATGAAGACTTTGTGGGCTTCGTATTTCAATATCTTGACCGATTTACTTTACCGAAGGGTGAATTCAAGCAGTTTCAATAATGTGTGAAAAGATTGAGATTTCAGTTTGACGTCTAGTGTCACCAAGTGGATTTTTTGTCCGAATAACCGATCCCTATCTATCGCTTTATGAGGGACCTGAGGTATGCCAAAAAGCAGTTATGCAATTAGACAGCCTTAGTGTTATGTATTTGTTGTATGTAACAAGGAAATATGTGAAATTTTTACCCTACACTTTGTTTAGCATGGTTCTTTTCTACTTGTTCCTCTTATTTTGATTTTTACTTCCAACAGCTACTGGTGTTGCTTCACATTACCTACCTATCTTGCTATCATCGCCCTTTTATCAATAAGATTATTACTACTATTACCGTCGTTATTACCATTACTAACAGTTTGCATTTCCTGACGAAATATTCACTGATGTGCAACTGGGTTTTTTATTTGAAAAGATAACCACTGCCTGAATTTCTTACTTTTTGGTTTTTCGATGGGAATTATTAAAATATCATTTTGACTATCTGAGATAGCCGTGGTTCGGAAGACTTGTATTGATACTGAGTGATGATTGGAGGTGAAATGAAAATCTGAACTGCGGCCGGATCCGAACCAGTGACCACCGGTATTCCGGCTAAACCACAGCTATGTCAGATAGTCAATATGATACTCCACCTCTCTGAAGCAGTTAGATTTGGATTGAAATGAGAAGTCCTGACTGGGTAGCCAGTGTGAATACGATCAAGCGATAGTAACGCGTCACGAATTCACATGTTACTCGGGCAAAACCCTTGATGATTGAAGTGAAATAAAAATCTGATAAGCAGTTGTGTCTCGTGGCCCGGGTCAGTAACCTGGTAGTCGCTGGTTCCAACCCTGCCGTGGTCCTTCAGTCATCTAGTATCAACATCCATCCAAGTCAACACAGGACCAGGCATTACTGCGTAACGGTACGAGTTGCAACAGCTCATACCAGTACATCAAGTAAAAAGGCAGTGAAGAGGAAGATGAAAAAAATTCAGTCAAAGGATATATAAAGTATTAAATGGAGAAATGAACGAGAAAATGGTGAAATTCGGTATAATGTTAAGGTGAGGATAATGTGTGTATACGCCGACGCCACTAACATCAGTTCTGAGCCATATCGCCTAGAGTCTTCAACCACTGATTTCTTTTGTCTTGTGGACTCCAACCACCTAGTCTGCATCGCCCCACATGACTTAAACCAACAGTCAAAGACTTCACACATTGGTGCCATGTTTTAGTCTGACCACCTCGAGCATTTTTCCAATCTGAACCGACTTCGGCCAACATTGTGTGACGAGGTAATCGGTGACTAGGCGTATGTAACACGTGTCCCATCCATCTCAGTCGATGAACGTTCACAACCGTGTCAACTGACTTACCTCTTATCCCTAAAACTCTACACCTGACGTCTACGTTATCCACACAGTGACACCACAGAATACGGCATATACTACGAAGGCAACGGTGGTCAGACACTTGAAGTCTTCTTATGTCTTTCACCTTCAATGGGCATGTTTCACAGCCATACAGTAGGACAGAGCGGACTGCTGTGCAGTACACGCGACTCTTAATATATAAGTTGGCGAAAGCCAGTCGAGCCTTTTGTATTCATGCGGAGATTTCATCAGCCACTAGGGCAGGGATGGTCCTATTTCCCAGG